TATATATATATAGTAAAAAGATTGTGAGTGATTATGTTAGAGTTTCCAACCAATTTCACCTGTCTAACTATTTGATTCTGCGTTGCAGACAGATTCACGAGTGACAACACAGCTCCCAACCAAAGATTCATGGTCAGCGTCTCACACACGAGAAAATATTACATCAAGATTCCTAACGTAGTTTTCGTTCGGAGTCTAATGGTGGGCGCCATGTGTTAAGTGGGACCCACCGCAATACACTGGCATTGACCAATGTTAAAAATAGTGGAGCCCATTTGACACGTGGCGTCCCACCACTGGACTCCGAATATATTAGGAATCCTTATGTAATATGTTTCCCTCACACACACCAAAAATTTTTCTGTGCAGACTCAGCTCTACGTGCGGCGGAAGTTATTTCTGGGTTATTTTTAATAACACCGAAATAACCCAAAAATAAAGACCGCGGGTTATTTCTCGATTATTTCAGGATTATTAAAAATAACTTGAAAATAACTCAAGAATAACCTACGCCGCACATAGAGATATGTCAAGAGTCCGTATAAAAAAAACACTCCACACACACACACATATATATATATATATATATAGACACACACACACAAAACCTAAACTTACTTCTTATGGAAAAATGGGAGAATCATAGGAAATTGAATTTCAATTTTTTTTATTTAAACGTCGACCATTAGATGATCCGATTAAAAGGTAGATGTTTTAAATTCGACTTGTGTTAAGAAAGGCAGAGGTAGACCTAGGAAGACTTGGGCTTATTGTATTAAAAATGATCTTAATTTACTAGAACTAAATGAAAATTTGACACTAAATAGGACGCAATGGAGAAAAATGATTCACGTAGCCGACCCCACGCAGTGGGATTAAGGCTTTGTTGTTGTTGTTCTTGTTGTTGTTGAAATAAATGAGAAAAAAATAGGGAACATCTTCACATAAATGAAAAAAAAAAAGAATCGAAATATTTTATTTTAATTATAATTATGAGATTTAATTTGATATTTACTATAATTTCGATAAATAAAAAAAAAAAGATATGTTATTTAAGTATTTTTCGTGATTAATTAATTAGATTTCAACACAATTTTTTTATTGAATATATTTTACGAATTAAACCGCTTAATTTTCCTAATTTTCAAATTGTTTTCTTAAAAACTATATTTTCTGTAATTTTGTTTTATTTTAGTTCTGATTTGATCCGTAATTATATAAATTTAGATCCAACGGTCAGTTTTTTCTGGCGATCTAATCGGAGAGGTTGAGGAGTTCACGTCGGCGAGGGCCGGCGGGCATTTACATAAACACCCCAAAATTCTTATGAATTTATATATCTCACCCCTAAACGTTCATATTAGATGCATTCTACTCAAATTTTTAACATCACATAAAAAAATAACATAGTTTTAATAGAATTAAATCGAGTATTTTCGCGTCTATTTTCGTCTTCTAGCTCTCCATTTTTTTTTATGATGTAAATTCAGATTTACTACAATCAAATTATGCAGTGAATTTAAAAATCACCTCTATGACCATGTTTGTCAATATAAATTTAAATTAATCTGATGTATTAAGGGTCTGTTTGGGGTAGCTACAACTTATTGAATAATCTGCTGATAAGCTGGGTGCGATGACTATTACAAGTTATTATTTTTTTAATCCGTTGTCAGAAAGTTACTACCGCAACTAGATAGGCTAGGGGTGTAAACCATGCTCAGCTCGTGTTCGGCTCGTTTATATTTCGAGCTCAAAAAGTGTGTTCGTGTTCGTTTTTCTCAAGGGGCGGGACCCCGAGCTGTTCACGAACAAAGAGTCCTTTTAACAACCCTAATCATGTAGTCATAAGACATAATGAGAGTTTGAGCAAGATTTAAAAATTATTGTTTATATTAAAACATCATTTGAATCTAAGTTAATAATTTTTATTCTATTTTCTTAATTAATATTTTAATTGATTATAATCTTTGTAGTCTTGTAGTCAGTTAGATTTTTTAAAATACCACTTAAATATATATAGCCAAAACGAGCCGAATACGAACGAACACATCTTAGTTTGTGTTGGACTCGTTAACTTATCGAACGAAATTAAAGAGCCGAACACGAGCTGTTCGGGAACAACAAGCCGTTTTGACAGCCCTAAGATAGGTGCAGCGTGAAAACGCTGTTTTCAGCATTTTGAAAATGTATAAGCTGTCAAAATGCAATTTAAATCCTATAATGTAAATAGCCGATGTAGCCAAACATCAACTAATGTGAAACAACTTTTCAATTATGAGTTCATGACACCAAAGTCTTCTAAATGTAATTTTCAAAATTTGGGGGCTACATATAAAAATACATAAGAATTGTGTGGTCTGTATGTGAATTTCCTTAAAATTTTATAATTAAAAGTGACATTTTTACCCATATTTGGTAGAAAGAACTCGATAAATGCCACAATGTTCTGACTGCGGGTACATTGCCGTACGAGATCGAGAAGGGCGCGGCGGTGCCGTCGGGTAAAAGACGCGTGGGCAGCATGTGACGCGTTGATGTGGGGCCCACTGAGCAGAACGCCCACGTCATCGTTAGTAGTCATCGTTAGTAGTGCTGTCAAAAAGACTTGACAGCTAGTGTTCGGCTCGTTAAAAAGCTCGTGTTCGACTCGTTAATTTTGTTCGATAAGTTAACGAGCCGAACACGAATCAAAATGTATTCATTTGTGTTCGGCTCATTTTAGCTCGAAATACTACTCATCAAGTTTATATATATATAAATTAATATTTTTAAAAAAATCTAATTGACTACAAGGCTACAAAGATTTATAATCAATTAAAATATTGAATAAGAAAAGAGAATAAAAATTATTAAATTAGATTCAAATGATGTTTTAATATGAATATTAATTTTTAAATCTTGCTCAAATTCTTATTATCTTATGTCTTATGACTACATGATTAGGGTTGTTAAAAAAATTTTTTGTCGTGAAAAACTCGTGTTCGGCTCGTTAAGCAAACGAGCCGAACACGAACACACTTTTTGAGCTCGAAATATAAATGAGGCGAACACGAGCTGAGCATGGCTCGCTTGTGTTCGGCTCTTTTACACCCGTAATCGTTAGGCGAGAAGGCCCCTCCCTCACGTGCCAAAATTTTTTTTTTCTAATTTATTTTTCTAATTTACATATGTATCATCTAAGGTCTATTTGGGACTGCTACAACTTATTGAATAATTTGAATAATCTGCTGATAAGTTAGATCTGCTGATAAGTTAGGTGCGGTGACTGCTACAAATTTATATTTTTTTTTTGAAAAAGCCAGACCACTACAAAAAAACTGTCACCACACCTAGATAGATACAGTGTGAAAAAGCTGTTTTCAGCATTTTCAAAATGCATAAGCTGCCAAAACACAGTTTACCCAAATACATCAGATGTGTTTTCAAAACGACACCGCACCAAATAAGCTGCCCCAAATGAACCTTACATCTTATTTTGTTTTATATTTTTAGCACCAACAAATTCAATATCACACAAAATTAGCACTATTTTAACTTTCTAAAACGTGAAATACAATTTTTTTTTTGCATAAGTTGGGTGGCATATATGTAAATATTAAAATATAGATATTAGAAATGTAAATACATCAAAATTAAGTGGTATAAATGTAATTCTTTCTATTTGTTTTAATGATGGAGAGGTGTAGTTTAATTAAACTACACAAAAATAAAAATATTTATGAAAAAATAACATATTTTAAGGAAATAAAATGATGTAAAACTAAGGGGATAATTAGCTATATTTATTTAAGAAGATTTATATATGGATCGCATATTTTTTATGAATTAACATACATACCATACAAATCTTATATATTTACATTTTAGCACATACTTTTATATCTACATATAGGGCTGTCAAAAAAGCTCGTTGTTCGCGAACAGTTCGTGTTCGGTTCGTCAATGAGTTCGTGCTCGATTCGTTCGATAAGTAAACGAGACAAACGCGAACAAATTTTTTTCGTTCGGTTAGTTAAACGAACCAAACACGAACAGTGATGCGTTCGTTCGTGTTTGTTCGTGTTCGAATCGTTATTGTTTGAAATATAAAATAATATAAAATAATTATATATAAAAAATTTATTATATTTTAAAACATTAAATTTTATAAATTATAATATATAATAAAATAATAATAATAATATATTAATATACTATAGTAGTAATATACTAATATAGATATTGTATATTTATATAATATAAGTGTTCGGCTCGTTCGTTAAGAAACGAACACGAGCTTATTTCAAACAAACTAAATTTTAAACGAACCGAACACGAACACAAGCTTTGTTCGTTCGTGTTCGGTTCGTTTACACCCCTATCTACATACATAACATTCGACGTCACTTTTTTAAAGTCACACTATAACAAGAAGGCTATCATCACATCTAGTTATGAGTGGTGAGAAAATACATGTTTCAACGACAGCTTTTCGAGAAAATTATCAAAATGCAGTTTACCAAAACAGACAAAACTAAAGTACGGTGCCGCACCGCACTGCACCGCTGCCCCAAACGGACCCAGAGACGATGATAAAATAGTAACATTTTAAAATTTCAAAAATTCACTGTGATCGGATGAAAAATCTATTTGTTTAAGTTAGTGGGGCCCACTTGATAGGAGCTGAATTGGAAGATGACCATTGGTGACGGGCACATGCACCTTTTAGAATTGTAGGATTGGCTGTAAGATGTAATATTCAATTCAGCTACAAAGATCCAATGAGATGAGCTCCAAATTATTGGGGGCAGTTGATTAGCTTATTGATCAATCACACCAGGCTCAAAAATGTGATTTCAAACTTAGAAAATGACTCCATAGGAATATAATTGTCATGAATGTACTATTCAACAATCAA